AGCCGGGCGGAAGCAACCTGTGGAAGGAAAATAAGGTTCCCCTGAGGCCTAAGGAAGAAAGCACCCTCTTCAGGACCTCTCGAGAAGCTAGAGTCCAGAGGATTGATGCAAATGTTGGGCATTCGATCTTGTCCCACCCTCAGGATCCCGGTCGTCCGGACCCGAACCATGGCGGTCGGGGTATAACCCTCTAGTTCACAAGGGTGGCTGGTTCGGATCCTTAGGGTAATGCTACTACAGCAGGATGAAAACTAATTCAGGGATCTATGAATCTCCTTGACATCATCATCACCACAGAAGGATGGCCCCTTCGGGATGACCTTTTTCATCAACAGAAGGTGAACTCCCTATGAGCTATCCTTGGAGTGTATGTCTGTATGTCATATGTATGTCTGATGGCTTCATCGCTCGATCGACCAGCTTCGTCCTGCTGAAGCTTCCTCTGGGCCACGGCCTTAAACAGGGAAGACAACCAACTAAAATGGTCGGATCCATCTATCCCATGGCCAAACCATCCAATGACCCGTACACGACCTGTTTGGGACTGAACTCAGGACTGCCGCCCCAAAGGCCGACACCCCCCAGTCAACCACCACCCCTGGCCGGAACTCCAGTTCCGGACTGGCAGTCATGGAGTCTGGGGCGTTCCACTCACCGGGCGATGCTGCTTCCGGGGGCGACCGATGGACCAGGTTCCAACCCATCGGCGGAGATCCTTGGGGAGCCTTCGTTTGGGATGAAGATGTCGGTCAAAACACTCCATCCCGTTTGGGCTCCTGGCCCACCTCCGTCTCGGTTCGATGGGACAGGGGTGGGTGCCAGGGGGGTTTTAACCACCGAACCTGAGGAGATGGGCCAGGAGCCCTAGGGCATGTATGGAAAAAGAACCGAAAGAGTTAGCCTGGATGGGTTATTTTCATTGGGGTGAAGGTATATACCATATGTTCGTATGCATCTTCCATACATGGACCGTCTAAAATCATAGGCAGCTTCAAAGATCCAAATTGGACATATGAAATCTAAGAAAGCAAATGTGGTGCCTCGTTCGGGGCTGGGACAGTTGATTGTGATATGCTCTTCCTAAATATACTGAGAAGCTACAAACAGGTCGTACTTCACAACAAAAGGTTGTGAAGTCCGATAGGATAGGCATAAGGACAGGTTCAGGAAAAATCCTGAGGGGTTCTTCTGCACCTTTCGACCCACTCAATCTCAATCATTCTTGCATGGACTAGTTTGGTGGCTACAGCAAAAAAACAACAGAATGGCCTGAGATCTCCTCTGATCTCCGCAGGATGAAAGACTTGAAAGTATGTGATTCCAATTTCACTGAATGCGAGGGGGGTCGTAATCCGGTTGTAATGGTCTGATCTTCGATGTGTGTGGGCGCCGTGTGCCACTTTCACGAACATCCTTTTCTTTGCTTTCACCGCTGCGGCGTTTTGTCCGAAGGCCAGCTTCGCCCCGCCTGGCAAAGCTCATGGAGCAGCTTTTTGGCGAGACCGATAGTTGCTAAAGAATTGTGGCCCTGAGGTATTGTAATGGTATTGTGAATTAACATTCTTTGTGTAAAAAAGACACGCACCGCATGACAACACTGAGATACAGCCAGCATCCACACAAAAATCCCCAAGATCAGTACTCCATCATCACTTCAGCGCTCCGTCTGCACCCACAGCCAGCTGGTGGAAAATCCAAAAACAAGGTAAACTCATCTGGCTATTTTCGTGGCCATGGCCTCTGGTCTTTCACTTCCAAGACCCGGTTTCGTGGGTTTTTGTGGTGCACAAAAATCTTATAAAACAATATCCCTTGTTCGGCATTCAGACTTATATAATACACCATTAGCTGGTGTTTTATGGAAACATTAAGAATAAGCATGTTCTTTAGTAGGTCCATATAATTATAGACCACCTTGTGGTCTGTGCCATCTACTCTCAATCCAATATAAAAACACACAAATGGTGGGCCAGGACTCCGATCGGGTCTAGCAAATTGAAGCGATCCAGGTCTGCATCCACTCCCCTGGGCTTCCAACAAGCATTCATTTAATAGGCTGAATCCCGAATCAACTAAGGATTTTATACTACAAAAACCAGGTGTTCCGGATGTCGAACGGGACTCCGTTCCTCGCCCACCTCACCTCCGCCTTTCCGTTGGGAAACATGGACAATGCTGACCTGGGCCAGGACTCCGACCGCACCGGCGCGGAGCGGCCGGCACCGGCGGTCACGACGTGGCGGAGCTGGAGCTGTGCCTAGGCCCGAATGGCTGCCTAGGCCCTTATGGCTGACCGAACTGAAGAGGTATCAAGTTCGGTCACGAAGAACCCGCGACGGACGAAGCTTCTGGACACATCCCACGTGTTTCATGCACGGTTCGGCATGTTCCGGCCACGAATGCCGGACATGCAATTCCCCAATGCCGCTACTCTCGGTCACTTGCAAGACAGGGGAATTTGGGGCAATCACCATCAGGACGCCCATCAGGTCGTTCGCGGGAGAAAAATGCTCAACATCGAAGACCTGCTTCGAAGATCATTCTCGTGGTCCATTGAACCCATGTTGGCAACTATAGGACAATTGGCTCAAGCAAAAGAACTTCAAACATCCTCAACTTGCTTGGTGCCGGCAGAGCGGGGACAACAATACCTGGACCCGACTTCAAGTACCAATGACTCAATGGGACATGACTCAGTTCAGAGGTTTGCAGACTCCAACTGCCCCTTTCTTCGTTCCTTTTGCTCTGCGCTGAGTTCGGATGGAAGGTGGCCCTACAGCCCACCCCAAGCCGGACCGGATGGAAGCTTCTCCAACCAAACAGCACCCCCCTCCCAAAAGGTGCTTTAGAAAATGCCATTGGCCCTTCAAAAACTCACCTATACAGTAGCCTATACACTATACACTTCACCAAACTATATCAGTCGATGCAAACCCCAAACATCCCAAACCCTCCTTCCAAGATCATAAGCCTGATCTGCCCAGGGGCCATGTTGGACAATCCATCGCCAGGTCAAATTGATGCGCGCGCCGATGGCCGTGGGACCTGCACGTCTGGCGAAGGTTCCAGCGGTGTGGAGATGGCGGATGACGAGGATACCAAGTGTCCATGGGTTGCTAACATCACACCGGAGCAGGACTTCAAGTGGCACCAAGAAGAATCAAACTTGTCGTGGTCCCAAAGAAAAAAACGATATGGATCGCAACAACAGTGAGCTGGACGCGAAGTTCTAGTTCCATCCATTGCAATTCCAGAACGTCTCTGCTCAGCAACCACTGCAGCCAACATGTCACCAGCATACGCATGCAAAATAGCGACCTTATTAGACACCGTCGTCTGGATGAAAAAAGGTGCACCCCAAGAGGAAGTCATGAAACCAACAAACCAACAGAGGTTGAAGGACCTATATAGACTATTTTATAGGTACCCCAGTAGGGTCCTAGTTCAGGTCACTGTCCACCTCTCTTGGAAACCACATCTCCTCCGGCTCCTCGTCCCGTTTCCGGCTCCGCGGCGCTGGGGAACCGGACCCTTCGCTTTGGGCACGCGATGTTTGTAATACCTCCGTGAAAGGACCGGCGCGTTCCAGGAGATCCGGAGTGGACTCCGGAAGGGGTGGAGAACATGGAAAACTCCGGAGGGGTGGAGAACATGCCAAGGACCAAGGAAGCATGTATGGCATACAAAAATGGTGGCAACAGATTGATGAGGAGAACACACAAAGAATTGAAGTAGCCAAAGACCTGAAGCTACCAGTACGGTCCAATGCTTCAATTCAAAACGTCCAAAGCAAGCACGTCACATTTCACAAGCCCTAGCTTGTGTAGCTTGTGAAAAGCATAGCAGCTCGTGCTTTCATGGTTGCGCGGCCAAGCCTCAGCATCTGAACTAGTCACGTTTGAGCTTCGTGCCACCCCGGGCGACGTGAACCTCAACCTTCCACGAAGCGAGAAGCCGAGGCGCTTCTGTGTCATCCCTTCCATGGTGCACAGGTCTCCATCTTGAAGCTCCAAGCCTTAGAGCCGGCTCGGAGTCGCGAGTCGCGAGTCGCATGCGACGGGCCTTTACGAGCGCAACGGTGAGACGGCGAATCCATTCCAAAGTTCGAGGGGGAACAGAACTCACGCAACATGAATCGAAAGTCGTGTCTTTCAACTTAAGAACTTAAGATGTTTTGTGTGTTTTTCTTTGCACTTCCGTTCGTGCCCCTCTGGCTGCCATTTCGCTACTGAGTCCTGAGTTGAAACTGCTGCAATGTCGAGTCTACTTACATGCATCCCGTGACAGTTGGACAAGCTGGTCGCACCCCACATCACCAAGGAACCTACACTCTGACAAACACATGGAAGTGGATGGCATGGCTGTTTTGATAGGAAAAGACATGAAACACAAAAAAACATATTTGGGGCAGCTGGTGGTCCCAAAATAAAGGTCACTCAGGTTCCAGAATCCACGTTTGAAGGGTTAAATCAAGGGCGACCTGCTGTGTGACCTTGAAGTCTCTGCCGCAGCACTCCGCTGAGTGGCTGTGGAAGTCCCTGCCGCATCGGAGCTCGAAGGATCGAGTCTCGCCCAAGGACAAAGAGATGATTCCTTGCAGCCGGGTACCAGGCCGGGCACAGCCAGGCGCGGCATTCAAGCCCTGCGCCGGAGGACACAAACACCTAACCTAAGGGATGCACGAAAGGACACTAAAATGGATGCATAAAAGGAACAAGTCAATTCGCTGGGATTTTAAGTTGGAGAAGCTACTGAACCATGGCGCTTTCAACAACTGAATAAAACAAATCAACGGACACAGCGCAGCCTCCATGATCCTCCATGCGTTGGACTCCGGAAGAGGAGTATCTGGTCTTGGGCTCTTGTTGAAAAACTGTTGATGTGGGCTAGTTCTGGTTTATATAATGTCCATTCCTCAACAAACCTGAAGCAACGGCTTCAGGAGATGTCCTCTAACATCTTTCAGTCTTCAAGCTAGTTGCAAGGAATGTAGGCTACGGCTACGGATACCATGACCTGGCTGCCAAGAGGCGGCAATCTTGGACCTTCCCTTGGAAAAGCACCTCGTCATCTGCGTGCCAACCCACCGAATGTTCTCCATCCTCGGCATGACGCGCACACACACACACAAAGAGGGAATTGGGCAAACAAAGAAAACAGTGAAGACACATACACACACACACACACATACAATGTTGTGTTTGCATGTTGTTCTCTCTGATTTTTGGTGTTCCGAGTTGTGCTCCTGCTGGTGGAGCATCCTTGTTGCCTGGGCTTCCCACTATCAGTGAAGACGCACTGGCCAGTACGGGATTTTCCCAGCTGCTGAATGAAACGACCGGGTTGTAACACTCACATGGATGTACATGGCTTAAAATGCATGTTTCGAAGTGCACCAGTGACTTCTGTTGAGGCTTTTGCTGCCTAAGGATCCATGTAGAGGTTCAGGTTGCAGCTGTTGGGCCAGTCAGCAGCTGATGGGAGGCCGCAAAGTGGCATGCAGCTGGACATGACCTCCGACATCCAATCCTGGAGAAGGGCCAGGAGGGGCAGGACCAGCCTCTAACTCTAGAGGGTCTTCTCGCTGGGATGCCGTAGCTAGATCAAGCTGGTGAAGCAGGGTCGATGGGAATCACATAGATTCCAAGAGCCCGGCGGGAGATTTTGTGCACTTCATGCAGTTGATTGGAGAGACAAGGGGGGTTCTCCAAGTGCCGCTGGGACTTCTGCCAGGTTTTGGGGTAGCGAGTGGTTTAAAGGCGAGCGTTTGCAAGCAACACCTACACACAACATGAAAGCAAGCTGTAAGCCTTCCAAGCGCATGCGTTCATGAACTAGGGCTCCTGGCCGCCCCCTCCCGAGGTTCGGTGGTTAGGGGTGGGTGTTTTGGGGGGTCGGGGTTTTCTCCACCGAACCCGGAGGATGGGCCCGACCGTTCGGAGCCGACGCTCTGCTACGACGCTTCATCGCTCCGTGAAGGCGGTCGGTGGCACGGTGGCGCCCCCGTAGCGGTAGCGGCAGGCGCAAGGAGCCACACCTGGCGTGACCCGGCGACGTGACGTGGGTCACGCGACGTGGGTCGAATGGAGCTCCGAGGAGCTTTGAGGTTGACCCGGACACGACCTGTCTGGGACTGGCAACCGATCAATTGAGGTGGTTGAAAAGGGGTCAATGTATGTAAATACCTGGAGTATCTGGGTTATGTAGGGGAGGAATATGGAGAACAGGAGGCACCCAAAGACCCTTGATCATAGGTAACCACCAAAAACAAGCTGTAGCCACTTCTGTATATAAACAGGCATGCCATTATGGCCCAAGAGGCTTTGACAGTGGCTTTGACATGTCCTGACACTTTCCAGCCGTATTTTGTTGAGATCGATGCATCGATGCCAAGTCGACAGACTTATCAGCTTATCGGCTCTAGGGACTTGCGGCCTTTCTCATGAAACAATACTACCCCGTGTTCTGTCAGACACCGGCCTACCCAAACGCTCCATGGGACTGCCATATATGCCGCCCTATTGACCCCCCTGGCCCCACCCCAATGTAGGTATACATGGCATACATGGAGCGTTTGGCCTATGAAGAAACATGGGGAACACCCAAACCCCAACGCTCCCACCGGCCTGCAAAACACACGAGTACCTCCAATGAACGTACCCCCAAGCGACCCCAACAGCCCAACTCATCGGCCAAACGTCACTGGTCAACCAAACATACCAGTGCTTTTCGGGTGCCTTTCGGGTGGGGTTTTTCAGGTCAGTCCTGGGAGTCTGAGTCCCGAGAAACCGAACCAGGCGACCTGGCATGGAACCGGAAGGAAACCCGACCAAGCCAAGCCATGGCGCCCTGCCGTTGCAGGTGGGTCCCGGGCCCATGGAAGGGCGTGCATCCCAAACCGTGGCCCAGCCACACATCCAGGCGGTCCGAAGTGGCAAAGGACCCCAGCGGCCGGTGGGCTGCAACCAGGTGGTGCCCTCCGGAAGGGCGGCAAGAGGGATCAGCAGTGTGGTCATAGGGGTCAGGTCACGAGAAAAACGCGTACTGGATGGGAGGGTCACGAGGACTGCGTTCAGATCAAGCTGGTGAAGTTAAGCCTTTTTGAGGCCATCCAACTGGAAGAGTTCCATGCATTTATATACCATACATTTATGGAATGACCCATCCATGCAAGTGACGTGAATGAAGCAACTCTTCCAGTCCCGATATCCATGGATGGTCTGGGTATGGCAAGTTGTTTTGTCGATCGAGGTCTTGCGGAATGTGTGAAAGAGGGCTGGGGGCACAAAGCAAAACACATGCCCAGCACATATCATTTATCTCCTTCTTTTAGGTTTAAATGGTTTAAGAGCCCCGGAAAGGTGTTGGACACCAGACACCACCGGTCAAAACACGTCATAAAGCCGCAGCCCTGGTTCTTCTCGTTTGGGTGCCTGGGCACCCGCCCCGTTCCCCAACCGGTCCGGACCTGGCGTGACCCGCTGGACTCTCGCCTCATGGACCAAGTCGAAGAAGCGTGACCGCAAGGCTTCGGGGAGCCCTCCGGGCAAATAGCCCGCAAAGCAACGCCAGTCCTGTGTCCACCGTCATCCGTCTTGTTTTGGCCCAATTCAGGAGAGGGAAGCAGTTTTCACATGCATGCACATGCCGGATCCAGTGAAATCAGATCAAGAAGCAATGAAGAACTTCCTTAAGAAAGTGGCTCTTAGAGTTTTTTTCAAGAGCTGCGAAGAAAGGAATTTCATGTTTATCTCAAATCTGTCTCGCCTATAAAGGAGAGGGAAGAGACAATTCATGCAAGTACCGGTTCTGCTGCGAGTTGTCTCACAGGATTCGATTTCCAAGTGCTCCTCCTCAAACAAAGGATAGCTCCAACCCTCGATCTCCTGACGCAACCAGGCATGAGGATCGACAGTCACGTGTGATGTGGCACAAAACGGATGTGACTTGTCATTGTGATATAGAGAACCTTGGGCTGCCAATCTCTGGACTAGCCGGAGGCTTATAGGTACACTCTGGCTATAAGAATATATAATAACCCTAAGAATCAAGGACCCTCAGTTCAGTGAAGGTTTGGTTCGGGTCCAAGGGCCCCCTGCGTTCTGTGGTCGGGGTCCAAACCCTCCAGTTCGGTGGTCGGGTCCGATTCTTTTTGGGAAGCAGAATCTGCACGTCCAAACTGGGAGCGATGTCCGTGCCGGACCTCAGACTTGAAGTTGGCTGAATCGCCAGGGGTACCGTGAATGGTCACTCATGGGACCAATGGGACCTGGTATGTACCACCTAGAAGATGGTTGGGGTGGGTTTGGGGGGTCTAACCACCTTCTGAGAATATGGTTGGAGCCCTAGTGTGTATGAATCAATGAGTCTACAGTCTGCAAGGCCGCAGTGTCTGTCGCAGCCTTGCAGACTCCGTGACTCCGTGAGTACAAGGGGTTCACTGATGTGAAGAGCGGGACGCGGACCGTGGACCATGGTTGTCATAGTTGTCAATTCCGTGGACCATAGTTGTGAAGATAAATCAAAAAACGACAAACCATGGGCTGAACATCCATCAAACACAGGTCTCCAGGGTCTTCCGGACTCTCCCACGCCTGCGCCAAATCCCCGAGCAACTGGATGCACTCCGTCCGCGGCTGCTTGGACGCGACGGCGCGCGCCTCTTGCAGGGACGTCCCAAAACCAGGTTGTTGCTTGGGAGAAGCCACCCTTTTCCCCTAGGGCTCCAACCACATCCCCAGGCCTCCAACCACATCCCTAGGCCTCCAAGTACCTTGTGAGAAGGTGGGACTGGGGTGGGTGTCAGGAGGGTCCAGTCATACCGAACCTGAGGACGATGCTGCTTGGGGTCCCACGTCAGGAGTGCACACATACATTGCAGTGCCTAGTGTTGCATTCTGGAGGCTGTGCCATTAAGTATGAATCTACACACATATAGGCGGTTATATAATGTTATATACAATGTATACACCGTTTAAACATGGAATATGACCAGGACCCTTATACAGGAATGGCTGGTCTTCCACATGCCGTGCCATCCACTTGCATGATGGTTTCGGGGAGTGTCATTGTTGTGTAACTACCCTGTTACTTGGACAACGTGCTGCAACCTTCTCTATGATTCTGCTTGTCTCAGCACGATCTGCTGCTCACCCTGTCATGCTCCAGTCAAATCTGCTGCTCACCGCCTACAAGTTCACATCAATCCCTGAAACTTGCACCAGTGCCACATGTTGCTTGTTCTCACTATGTCACCAGCCCGTTCCACACAACATCAGCGGGCTTCGCGGTGGTCTGGCCTCGTGTTGGGCAGCGGCTTGGCGCTTTTGCTTGAGAATGCCTTGCCTTCTTCGGGCGTGCCGGTTTACGTGTCACACACACACACACACACACCTAGCTTTGGCGGTACATGGCGGCCTTCAATATAGCTTGGACTTTGATATAATATGGCCAGTCCTAGATATTGATAATAAGTTATAAGGATAAGGATTTGTCTCAACAAATTTTGATCTATACATGGCTTTGACTATCCGACATCCTGTAAACCTCGAAGGTGAACAACATGGTCTACACCCAGGGGACTCGGCTCCCGGTGGGTTGGTGAGACTGTTGGACGAAATCGTCTCTGGAGGAGCGTGGAAAGCATCTGCCATTCTTGGGAAAGCAACAGCTCAACTCATCCCCAGTTTCTTGCCGCGTTCTCCCTAGGGCTCCTGGCCGCCCCCTCCTGAAGGTGGTTAGGGTGGGTGCCAGGAGAAACTAACCACCGAACCTGATCATATGGGGCGTGACAGGAGCCCTAGGGAAACAAACAGTTGGGGGGAACTCCCCGTGGTCGCTCCGAGTGACCTGGCTCCCCGGAAGTCGCTCGCCGCTCCGACGAGCCACAGGATCTCCGGACCATCCGTTCGAGGTGTCGAGTCTGCCGTCTGACTGCGGTGATTCGGGGTGTCCAAACAGCACTGGACTTGAAAGGTCCTGCTAGTTTTGGGCCACTTCATGCCATTTCCCAACCCTAGGGATCCGTGTTCGCACTCAAGTACGGTGAGGAAGGAGACACGGTTGACATCTGGGTGGTTGTGGGTCGGGTCCAGTCCTACCTTCTGAGAAGGTCCGACTGGATTCCTAGCTAGGGCATAGTTATTCTACTAACTCCTATGTCCAACAGTCACTGGTGCTTGAACATTCCCAACTTTCCCGAACCCAAAGATGTCCGAATGGCCCCTGAAATTGACCGCGGAACCTGTCGACGTTGCAACATATGACTGCGGCAAGGAGGTCCGGCGGATTTTCCATGGTTGGAACCAGTAACCAGCATGGGCGACGTCTCGCAAAGCTTCACACTTCTTGGGTGTCCCATGGCTGCCATGTTTGACAGGGACCACCACGAGAAAAAAACACATATACAGGCTTGAGAAGTTCGATGGCACTGGGAATCCATGATAATTTCCTCCAGAACTCTTGGCCCCAATACCCAAGACTGTTCTTTGGCCAATCCCTGTACAAACCACCACTTAGGATTTGAACCGTTAGTGTCCTGACCAGGACGTACAACATACAACATACACAACCACCACAACAATAATATCAAAATCATCATCATCATCATCATCAACATCAACAACACTACCATCAGCAACAACAAACACCTAAACAACACACACTTCAGAATAACCAAACAATACTTGTTACCACGCACCCACCTCCTCAAGCGGCGGCGGCGCCATCCCCGGGTGCGCCCATGCAGGTGCATGCGACGTCCGTGGTGAGACTTGGACAGAAAACCCTCCAAATAGAGTGAATAAACATCAAAGCTAGTTTTTTGAATAAATATTGTGCAACATGTTGGACATGAATTAAGTATGATTATATATTAATGATGTATATATATATATTATGTGTGTATTAGTCTATTTTGTTTTGTGTTAACTCTCAAACACTAAAGGGATATTGGTATTCCATTATGGTAAATATGCTCATACGGAATATTTCCCGAGATTGGGCATGATTGGGGTGTTTGACCTTGAGTCAATGTATAGCTATATGTTCCAGTCCCATGGAGCGTCTGGGGATTGGTGGACAGGAACCATCGCAACATAGCTGCACCTTCCAATCGGATGTCTGAGATCTCCAGGAAGTGCCCTAGTAATGCTTCCTAGAATCGCTCTCAGTTCATGTTTACAGGGGCGGATCTTCTAGATGTGTGGCTGCAAGAGATGGCGGACGAGGTGGCTGCAATCCAATTCATTCCAATTCCGTTCTCGGCTGTCTGCTAGAAACACACAGAAAAGTTCAATTCTTCGTGGCTTTCTGTGTTCACGTGTCTGAGCAAAGCGATCTGAGAAACAAGGAGTTCTGAAAGCTCCGCAGAACCTCTGGCTGTTCCCGCACATCGTCAACCACATCCGCCGCTCGGCTTGGAGACGTGCGCGGCTTGTCAGGGGGAAAATACCAGTATGCGCGGTCGGCTTGGCTGGAGCATAGCTCAGCTGCTGGCATCCACCGTGAAACCACGAAAATGCAGGGTAGGTCCCTCAAAACCTGGGATTAGTTCGACCCCAAACCCCTCAGTTCGGGTTCGACCCCTCCATAGGATTCGGGGCCAGTCCCGGGTCGAGTCTGGAGAGGAGAAAGGGACAAACCTTTGAGTCTGGACACGCAGTGAGGCGAATGCCTTGACCGGTCAAATGAAGGTGAGCGAACTCCCAGCTGTTCGGCTTGAGGGAAGACCTGTCCTCAAGCAAGGTTATACAAAGCTTATTCCCTCGCTGCATAGGTAGATGACATTCAAGAGCCAAAGTTATTGCCAAGTAGGGCTTTTTGGGGGGCAATGCATGTCCCTGTCATCAGTTTCTCGAAAACATATAGACTCTAAGTCGACATACGTCCAGGCCCCCGAGCAGCTTCCATGGCGTGC